AGGAATACCATCTATAGTTCGCGACAGAGATTATTATCTGTACAAAATCATAAAGAAATGGAAGTAACATTAAAGAGGGCACAAGAGACAAATGACCCGAAGAACGAGTTGACATGCTTATTGCTTAATCAGCTGCCACCCATTTCGAGAAGCTTTCCACTTCCTTCTTCTACAATTCTCTTCCCCTTATTTGAGAGAGTATCATTTTTCTGAAATGAAAAAAAGGAAAGAAGTTAATTTTCAAGGTTAACAGATTATATATGCAGATAAAATAAAATAAAATAAAATGAAATGAAAAGCATGAGCATACCTATGGATCTTTTGCAGTGGAGGACTGCTTCATAGATTGAATTCTCATGTTCATGCAAAGCACCAATAGGATGGAATGTAATTGATTTTGGAGATGCTTGCTGTGAACTGCTCAAGCTTTTAACTTGCCACTCTTTCTTATCAATATCATCAACTCTGGTACTTATACTTGAGCACCCAACTTTCTGGCTTAGTTGGTTGATAAACCGAGAGAGGTTTCTCAAGGTTCTACTTGTTATGGTTTTCCACCTTGCAAGGAAGCCATGATGAATTTCCACAGTTCTGGGAGAAACAATTCTTGAAGAAAAGGAAGAACTGGGCTTGGTTTGTGTGGAATCTGGGGTATTGCAGGACACTAATTTAGAAGTGTCAACAAATACTGGTTTGATCATGCCATCAGAGAATAGTTCATCAGCATGAACAAGAACAGGAGGTGACTGAGTGATACAAGTATCAAAATTGAAGTTTTGGCATTCTGCAAGTAATGGGGTGTTTGTACTGCTTCCCCAAGAACTATAAGTAGATTCTCTGAGAGGCTCCTCAAGGTCATTTGCAAGGGGTTTGCAGTTTGATAACCAACTATATGAGAAGCTATCAGTGGCTAGTGAGGTTTCCATTTTGCAACGATTGGCAAGTTGCGATGAACAAAAAACTTATATATTCCTAAGGACAAACAGATTTATTAGTAGCTTATAATGACAAAACAATTATGACCACAAAGGTAAAGCTCGTCTATTATATCAAGGTCAAGTAGGGGACAAATGGAACAACATGTAGGAGAAACTGTATTGAATTTAAGTTGTAAGTTTAACTTGGTTTCTCATCTAGTCATTGTCTGTAATTCCTAATTGTACTCAAGTAATGTTTACTCTAATTTGGAAGTGGTGTGTTCAAATTTCATGAGGAGCACATTATGAAGTTATAAATATGAGAAGGGAATCGACTACACTACTATGTAACTCAAAAAAAAAAAAATTAGATAAATCACAGTCATCTTTTATGAAAGACAATCTTATTTGGGACTGGTTCAAGATTAAAACTTTAAATCTCTTCTAAAAATAATACTGAGAAGGATTGAATACATACTCTCATTTTTTTTTACTCAACTCTCATGTGCCGATTGAGGTATCGTTATTTGTTACTATGTAACTCAAATTAATTTTGATATAAAGAATTGAAACGTCACAGGTGTTCTAGTCTATTCTAATAAAAAAGATAAAGTGATCTAAAAGTTTGATGTCAAAAGTTTGAAATAACCATACACTAGAAAATGTAGGATTGAGTACTTTTTACAGACATAAGGTCGACTTGAGCAGAAGCATCAACTTGGTCGCATATATAATTTCCCCCACAAGAAAAGGATAAAAGAAGCGGAAGCAAACCTTGCCCCCACAATATTGAATATAATCTCAATAATAAAAAAATGGAAACACAAGGCAGAAAAAAGGTGGATGACTATCTCTCACCAACCAGCTTATACTTGGTCCCTACTTTAGTTTCTTACAAACAAAAATTAATTAGTTGGTCCTTAACAAATTTAAAGTGGACTCATTTAATTAAAATCGTGGTCCCTCACAATTTCAAAAAAGACCCATATTAGTTCTTCAAAAAGACTAAAATGGGTCCATTTTGAATTTGTTAGGGACCAATTGACTAATTTTGTTTATAAGAAACTAAAGTGGATACTGTATTTTTTGTCAGAGACTCAAAAGATATTTATTCCGCTTGTTTTCGCCTAGATTATGAAAGAGACTATTATCGTAGTTCTTATACCAATGTCTTTTCCTCCTTTGTATGGATTTCAAACCTCGAGGAATTTATTTTATTTTTAATTTTAAAAAAACCTTCTTAACTCGGTAAGTGGCCACAGCCGTGACTAGGCCACGTGGTAGAACACAACGAGATTCAATGTCATTCAAACGCGAAGAATTTTGGTGCTCAAAGTCTAGTAGCACTATTGACTCAGTCAAGAACAATTAAAATCAGACAATGAATGAGGAGAGAGAAAAATTATTTTTGTATCCAAGTGTTAACCCCTTAATAAAAGGAACACATAGGCTCAGAACACTAAAATCTTTTCCAATTCAAACATGCTATTCGGTACAACCATGCGCTAATGTCTTGACCGCCCAAATGCTACTTCCTCTTTCATCCCTGTCCCTTCCCTCTAGGTCAATGTTACAAAACCAGATCGACTTGAAAATCGATGAACCACTAATATAACTAGTTCGGCTATGTAATGGAATCGTTGCCACCTCGTCAGTCTTTGTAAAAATTGGTGACATGACACGATTCATAAAAAAAAAATTTGATTTGTTCTCATAGATTGATAGATTGATGTCTTTCTTTTTTTCACTTTTACTCAAATGATTTGTTTTCTTTTGAAATATTTAAGTGATCTGTTGCTTATTGACTTACATAAAAGTTATATACTTACAACATTAATATTATCTTGGTAATGCAATATGTAGGGAATTTTGATTTGATTTATAGTTAGAGAAGTCGTCTACTGAACCTGAAGCACCAGTATCACAAGTATTATATGTTTCATTAATTTATTGGTTTTCATATTAAAATATTTGGAATTAATATTTTTTTTACATGTATTTGATTATATTTATAGTTTTTTAATATAAATTATAGATTTGCATATACTTACTGCATTATGCAATTAAACCAATGACTCACTGGTTGAACTAGTAACCCAGTTCTACGGGTGAAAGAGGGTTAGGCTGGGCCAAGCTTTGCCTCGAAAAGTCGAAGTCTATGCCAAAAAATTTCAATTAGCCTAGTACAAGTCTAACTGTTAGCATGCCTTGACCCATTTACAAAAAAAAATGGTCTGACCTAACCCGTTAACTTGTTAATTTTTAACTTCCAAGCATAATCATGAATCAACTTCACAAAATATTCAAATTCTGTTGCTAAACAAAAAATCACAATTTAAACGCCCAAACAAAATCATGAATCACAACAAAACTCATCACAATCTACATTTAAGTCACTTTCCAAAGCAAAATGCTCAAACTAAATAACATATATTTCATGAGATAAAACAAACAAATCCATATTATGTAAATGAAAATAACTACATGAATCTAACAAACACATCATGATGCTTGTAGTAAGTATAACATCTCCCATAAACCTTTTAATATATTTATATACACAATCTAACATGCTGAGATGTTGGTTCCTCCTACATAAGAAATAAAGTCAGATTTATATTAAAATACAATCAAATATAATTAATTTATAAATAATTACAATTGATTAAATTTATATCTTTTATTTTTTTCTTCAAGGCATACTTATTCTATTTTATTTTATTTAAAATAAATAGTACAATATAGGCCGGCTTGTAGGCTTATAGGCGAGACCTTGTGAAAGTTGACCTACGGTCTATTTATTAAACAAGCTTTTTCAAGGCCCAAGCTCGACCTATTTTACAAAATATACTAGGTCAAGTCTGGCTTTAGCCGTAAGCCCCTGTAAGCAGGCTCGACCCAGTTTCACCTCTACCAGTGATCTAGTACCTTGACCAGGTCAATAACCAGATCGAGTTTAATAACATTGCTTCTGGTGAATGAATGTGAATTGTTCACCTTATAAATAATAATTATGATGGTAAATTAATAATTCAAAAATGTTAAATTAATTCTTAATAATAATAATTTGAGGATTGATTCTTCTTTTTTTCCCCGATTGTTAGAGAATTCAAATATTTGACTGGCAAAAAAATTTATTTATTGCATTTTAATTAAAAAATTACGCATTTATTGCTGTTTGGGGAATAATTACAGATCTATTGCACACTGTGACGCTTCTTTTGGGGGCCACGTCTCTCATGAAGGAGAAGACGCCCCAAAGAGGCGTCACATGTGACGCCCAAAAGGGGCGTCCCATGGTGCATCTATATAATCCCCCATTTCACCATTTCACTCCTCACTCATTCACCTCTCTCTAACCACGGTTCGTAGCGAAGCTCTGCCAACTTAGGTAAGGTCGTAATACCTCCTATGTATACATTTAAATTACAATAGTAGTTAGTAATACATGTTAGGATTGATCATATATTAGAGACTTAGAACATTAGGATAGTCACTTAGAAATGAATATGCCATGCTATGAATGTTATAATGATACTTCCTTTTTTTTGTTACGTAGTTATTATTATTAATATTTAATTATGCATTAGGGTTTAGCGTATTAATTAGTGATTTAGAAAATAGTGATAGCGACTTCGTAAATTTTGTATGTATGATGTTATTAATGCGGGAGTGTATTCATAATGTTGTAGTCAGTTAGGTGTGATTATTAGTATATATTTATGAAGTTATTAGTGACCTAGGGTTAAGTATTCTGTAAGTATTATATTATTTTTGTCCAATGTTTTTTATTATTTAATTACAAATAAATGACTATTAATAGTATTAACATTATTTCATTAATTTCGATTCTAGTAAAATAAATGACGCATATGCCTAAATTATTTGGTAATAAATTATGGCATTACTTAATTAATCTGTAAATTAAATGAGGCATTACATGTGATTAATTTAAATGTTGTTTTATATGATCTAGTGAGGGTAATGGCTGATTCATCATCTTCATCGGGTTCTGCATCGGATGTAGAGTCTACCGATCCCAACATGTACATAATACCTGGGCCGTACAGATGGGACGTCCTTCGTAAGATGACGCAGCATGCTCATATTTCACAGCGAGTGTGGAATACGGAGCATGTCAGGAAAATAAAGACCAAGCGTGGGAAGCCAACGGGGGGGCCACCTACCGGCGCTATCCCAGAGGTTGTCGCAGACTACCTGACACAGGCTGGATTTATACATGTTGCCCGGATGCGACATATCTAGGTATGCAATTTACGTTGTTTTGTATTTATGTAATTATTCAATACCATTCGTTAACACGCTGTAATATATTAACGCGCCACGGGCAACCCTTATCATACGCACAACATTTCATGGATAACTTTGCATGCGTGCTCTCAATTGCAATTGCTTCTTGATGCTCCCTGATGAGGTGGTGCTTAAGTGCCATTTGGACATCTTTTTTTGTAGCAAATTCTTGATTGACAAATAACTTGTCACCCAGTTGCCACGGACCTTGTATTGAACCCGATCCTGAGACCGTACCATCAATGCGTGATTCTTGTTTGCTCCAATAACTCCAATCAATGTAGGAATAATGCGAAATTCCTTCCCAAAAAGGAATTACAGCTTCGTCACCTGCAACTACGGATTGTAACTTTTTAATACAAACTTCCTAATTCAGGTATTTTATCAGGTGCAAAATTCAACTATATACAAGTTATTTCAATTACCTTCATGATGAATACCTAATGGGGCATACGCAACGTCATGCAACTGCGGCATTTGCGCGACTACTGGTTCATGGAATATTGGGAATTGAGACGCACCCATCTCAGCAGCTTCATCTCCTTCGGAAGCACTAGCATCCTCCGCAAGAAGACGTTCTTCGATTGCGATATTTTCATCATCTTTGTCGTCGTCTTCGTCGTTCATTTCCAAAGTCAGATCATTTTCATCTCCCTCAGAATAGTTACCAGCTGGACACGCATGAGCGGCAGACAAAG